GTTTCACCGTGTTAGCCAGGATGGTCTTGATCTCCTGACCTCGTGATCCACCCGCCTCGGCCTCCCAAAGTGCTGGGATTACAGGCGTGAGCCACTGCGACCGGCCAATTGTTTTTTTTTTTTACATTGTTGTGCCTACCTTTGGGTCATGCCTTTGTTTTAACCTTTCCGCATATTCACAAACCAATCAGCAAGCACTCCCCTATTCTGAGCCTATATAAGCCCTGGGCTTAGCCACACGAGGAGAGAAACCACCCCCAGGTCCCCTCTCCACTGAGAGCTGTTCCATCACTCAATAAAATTTTTCTCTGCCTTCCTCATCCTTCAATTGTTAGGGTATTCTCATTCTTCTTGGATGTGGGAAAAGAGCTCGTGAACCCCCCATCTCAGGTAGAAGCTATAACACAGGCAGGCTGGGGCATGCTGGTCCAGCCGTAGGCCCAGCCACTGTGCAAGTCAGACTGGACCAAGTGTATTGGAAGCCGCCTGTGTGGCAGGTAGCATGCCCAAGCAAGGCCTAGGTGGGGGTGTCACTGGCTGGAGGTCTCTGGCTGGCAAGATGACTGAGAAGAATCCTGCTTCACAACCTTGGCATTATTAGCACTACACAAAGCCCTCATCAGCCTCTACAGCCTAAGAACTAGCCTATAAAATCTCGAGCAATCCTTTGTTTGTAGTCAGCTTCTTTCTTGCAAGCTGCCTTTTGCCCCCCTAGCAATGTATTTTCCTACTTTGTTTAATAAATCTACCTTCCCTACCTACAACAAGGTAAATTCTTTTTTTTTTTTTTTTTGAGAGAGAGTTTCACTCTGTCACCCAGGCTGGAGTGCAGTGGTGCAATCCTGGCTCACTGCAACTTCTGCCTGAACAAGGCAAATTCTTTTATGCCTGTGCCACCAGTACAGATAGTCATCACTCCCTCACAACAGATAACATAAAAGGAAATGCAAGTGACTTTGGGTTTAGCAATGACTTCATCGATATAACACTGAAAACATCATCAATGAATGGAAAGAATCAATGAGTCGAACTTCATTAAAACTAAAACTTTTGCTAGCAAGAGATACTGCTACAGATAACAAGACAAGCCACCGACTGAGAAAATCTTTGCAAAACACACACTTGATAAAGGACTGATGTTCAAAATATGCAAAGAACTCTTAAAACCCAACAACAAGAAAATGAACAACTCAACTAAAAATGAGCACAAGATCCAAATAGCCACGTCAACAAAAAAGATATTCAGTTAAGAAATTAGCATGTAAAAAAGAAGATCAACATCACACATCCTCAAGGAATTGCAAATTAGAAGAAAAATACATGATACTACACAATTACTAAATTTCCACCCACTGAATCTAAAATAAAAGTTAGAAATTTTTTTTAGGCCGAGCACAGTGGCTCACATCTGTAATCCCAGCACTTTGGAAGGCTGAGGTGGTTGGATCACCAGAGGTCAGGAGTTCAAGACCAGCCTGGCCAACATGGTGAAATCCCATCTCTACTAAAAATACAAAAAAAAATTAGC